TGTTCCAGTTCATCTAAATATGCAGATAGATCACATGAGCAACCATCAGGACCACTCTCTTCCTAGCCTATAGGATAACCTATGGAAGGTGTGTTGTTTCTTTCTCTCCCTTGGAATTTTCACTCTCATCACCCACTGGTGGGATGAGAGAGTGACCTAGCTCGCACAATGCAATGCAGGCTTGCGCAAACCCACGGTCCTGCAGGGCTGCATCTAACTCTGCCACAAACTGGATTTGACTGAACAAGAGCTTTACCCTGTATTAAAACCTGGAGTGAACAATGTTGAATTAGCTCTGAAATGCATTCAATCTGCGGTAGAGGAAGCAGGTGAGGTGCTGCTAACATGAAATCGGATTTAAATGTGGATCATTACTTTTAAACCTCTCTCCAGTTTAACTAATCAATACAAGTTTGTTTTTTCTGTCTGTGATATCCACTAGTATGGTCAGCTTATGTTTCACCAACCACTAGCCATGTTCTCTATTTAAAAAATGTAATTAAAGCCTGCTTCTCTAAATTCTCTGAAAACTCTGTAAACTACTAAGAAGAGCAAAAAGATTAAATCTGAAAGGTCATTACACTGATTCTGACTTTCTGAAATGTATTGTCTAATGAAAAACTAAATAGAACTCTTACTATACAGTTACAGATAAAATCCTGCTCCTCTTTCCCCCCTTTGTATTAATTTTACCCAGATCTGCTACTCATTAGTAGATGCATGTATGTTGCAGCTTTAGAATTCTGTTGTTGTTATAATTAAACTGAAGATCTGTGTACTGAGACGGGCATGAACAATGCTGCCTATTTATTTCTTTATAGTCTGGACCGATATTCTACTGGTGTCATTCAACACCCTCTTGAAATCACCAAAAGCTTAGTAACCTTCCTCAGTCAGCATCACATTATCCTTACATTTTTCTTCTCAACATCCCACATGGTAGGTTTCTCCTTTACCAGAATGAGAAAAGAATATTTTTCTAAAGTGAGACTAGAAATTGAATATGTAAAATTGTCCTTAAGCTTCATAAGGAATCATCTCCTGAGAATGAAGCAATTGCGAGCCCACATTGCTCTGACTACCCTCTTCTAGAAGATGTAGGGAAAAGAGAGAAAGAAAAAGATTAACTGCTTCTGTGCTGATAGCCTGGAAAGCAGTGCTCTCAGCTATAGTCATTTCCCATCAAAATCTTTCAAAGACACTTCCAGAATCTCTGCCTGACCAGTGTTTACATGTGTAGGATCTTAGCTGACCTATGAGTGCTCATGAAATACAAATCTATTTTATTTGGTTTTAAAATTAATTCTATTTACAGCACTAGGGTTTCAGACCATGTTTAAATCACTGGGGTTCACCTATAGTAGCGGGAGTATGTAGTGTCCTAAAAGACTTCTACACAGATGGGCTTAATCCCATGGGGAGACTGCAAATATGAGAGTCATTGGCATTCATGAAGTACATGGTCTGTCTGGTGAATGATGACATCAGTCTCAGTGCAAAAGGGGTCATGCATTATTCTATACGCAATCAACTGCTAAATTTAAACAGCGGTGGGGCAATACATTTTTTTCAAGAAGGGTCATTAGTAGCCAAGGGCCTGAACCATCAAACCTTTACTTACATGACCCATGTCTGCTCATACAGGTTATCTCATCTGGCAACTGCCTTGGCGAAAAAGACCCTTGCAATGCAGGGCTTGAAGAATCAGCATCTGATGGAACAACTTCTCTAATTAATAGATTAAAAATTATCCATGTACAGAAGTCCATTTGGGGGATTTGCAAGTATGTATGCTGGCTGCTTCTTAACAATGTGATTTCAGAGAAGACTGGGAGTTATCAAGGTTGTAATGAGTACAAACATTGTTGTAAAATACAAAAACTATCCCCTTAATATAATATCCTTTATCACGCAGCTCTCAATCCTACTCAAAGAAGAAACCTAACCTCCATACATGTCATTCTGTGTATATACTGTTGGAAAATGCACTATAACTAACAAGCAATTTATTCTTGAAAGAGGGCACTCTTGAAGATACCATATCCTTTTCTGCTAAATAAAGGAAGGGTTTTTCATGACCACATTCTCTACTAGAGATATATTTTTTATTATTTTTATTTTTATATTCAAATCTAATTATATCAGTTAATCATAGCAAGGAAATTATACACAGCTACTAGTCCATAGCAATACAGATTTTCTCCCCCCTGATTTCTAAAACTCCCTGTATTCTGACCATGGGTATTTGAATCTATATACTTTGGTTGGCTGGCAGCCAGTATGAACCGTAATGCTGAGGTATATATAATTACAGTACAGTTATTTCCTCTCTTCTCCACAACGCTCCTCTTCTGACTGCCTCAGTCATTTAAAATTGTGAAATTATTTGTAAGTAAGAGCAAGAACTACCTATGCTTTTCATAGCTATTGGATGAAGCAGAAATATTCAAAAATTGTACACGGTCACAGATAGAAAGAGGCTGAGACAGCAGGGAAAGAGCAAGACTGAGGCCTCTTCCCTTCTCCACTCCCAGCACCCATCTTTCACTCCCCACCATTTAGGAAAAGCCTTGTACTTGGGATAAATATTGTACCAATACACATTTTTACTATTTGCTAATCTTGAAAGCAAGGAATAATGTGAGTGGCATTTTGAAAGTACCAAGTAAAACATACATGGATTCTCCTGGGCATTTTAGCCCACTGGTCTGGGTGAAAGTGGATGAGCAGGGACAAGGGTGGGTAAGAGGCAGCTTGAGACAAATGATAAGATGGTGAAAGACAGCAGGTGAAGATAATACATGAAGATTTTTAAATTTATCCAAGGCAATTTAACTTTCAGTAGCTTTGTGTTTCCTTTTCCAACAGGTAAAACCTGAAGACATAGTAAAATATTCTAGTACAACTGAGTAGTCCTATTAACTTTTGCAGTAACCACATCACGAGTTAGCAAATTCTTTGGCTTTGAAGTTTATTCAATTTACAATTTGGTTATTTCTGCCATAAACAGGGCTAACATCCTAAGTTACTTTCATCCCTGTATTACAGCTGTCAATGCTGTTTTCTGTGCAAAAGGCTATTCTTACGGGGAAAGAAAGGGGGTGCAGACATAATGTCAGTGAGGATATGCAGATATGGCTGGTATGCAAGAGGGGGTATGCACGCGTGCAGGGAATGTGGCTGAAGTGTGTTTCGGGCAGTGATACTGGGTATGCACATGGGGTTGCTGAATGCAAGGAGCAATGGGTACACGAATGAGTAAGGGCTTGTCTTTCAGTTCTGGACTCAACTTTCCTCTCTGGGCAGCTCCTGCAGCACCCTCTAAAGCATCAGATCATGTCATTCTGGAGAGGGAGTAATGGGAACCTCTATTCCTTTGGTTTTAGAGGACGCCTGAAGTTGCAAATGAAGTATCCCAGCTGGGTTCGACGTTGCTCATCCCCTGCAGTGTAAGTCTTTCTCCAGAACCGTCATAGAGTTAGTAGTGACTGGCCAAGTTTCACAGGCTGCAGTGTGTTTACCAGAGGCAAAAGCAGTACATAGGAATTCTATCTTCAAACAACAAAGTGCTTAAATGCTCAGCTTACCAGCTCCTACCACCTCTGAGACAGGTTCTTGGCTGTCATGGTCCACAGATCTGATACATCTTTGTTCTTGAAGGGTTTTCCAGTTCATGTCAGAGCTTGTCTTGTACAATTTTTCCTCCAGGCTTTTCAGGTGGCTTCAGGCCCCCAGAAAAGACTGGCACTTTCTATTGCTCCTTAAAGACCTGTTATTCATGTAGAGGTTTACAGTAACTGCTCCCTGCACACAACACGGGACTGAAGGAACCTTCTGGGCCACCAGGTCCTGTCCCATGTTGCTGTACACAACCACATCACTTTGTTCCTTTTGGCAATCTGAAGAGCTCCATCCTAAAGGTAATGATTATTTTTGCACCATTATCTCTAGTGGAAGTATTTTTCAAATCACGAATTCTTTTATGTTTAGAAATTGTCCGATTTTTAGCTTAAATGTATTAATGGGCAGGTCATACCCGTTTGTTCTTGAAGAAACCAGCCACAACACACACAGTCTTGGCAAGGCAAGTTTTCACAAGCGCTCCCGGTGATGTGTCACAACTTGGCACGGGCGCCTCGGCGTTTCTGCTCTCTCTGATTCCCACCAGCCCCGCTGGAAGCGTGCAAGAGAGCTGTGTGGTGTGTGTGAGGAGCGGCGGGCGCTCCCGCGGCCGTGCGGGACCCTGGTGCGGGCGGGCCGCGGTGTGATGGCGGTGGGTACACAGCACCCCGGGAGGAGAAGGCGCGGGGGTCGCGCGGCGAGAGGTGGTCGCTGGCGCCGCGGTGTGTGGAGGGGCACTCGGGGACAGGGGCTGGCTGGGGCCGGTGCTGGGGAAAGGGGCCCGGGCCCGTCCCAGCGCCTGGGAATGGGCAGGAGCAGGAGCCAGGAGGAGGCTGCGGGCGGCAGCGGGTCCCTTGCCGCGCCCGTGGCTGCGGGTCCTAGGCGGGGCCGTACGGGCGCGGCGTGCCGCTGACGTCACCGGCTGGGGCGGCTGGCGGCTGCTGGCGGCGCTCCCCGAAGCGGCGGTGGCTCCGCTCTGCGCACTCACTCCGCGCTAGCGCAGCACACAGCGCCCGCGGCGTACGGGCGCTCCCTCCGCCCGTAAGCGCAGGTAAGGGGCTCTGGGGCGGAGGTCTCCGCCGGGGTTCGTGATTCTGGCAGCCGGGCCGCCGCTCTCTCCGTCCCTTCCTTCCCTCCCTCCCTCTCTCTCTCTCCCCCTTCCCGCGGCAACTGGCTGGGGCGAGCGACCGGGCGGCGCTGCCCGGGATGCCGAGTGACTTGCGAAGTCGGTGTGGCGGCGCGATGCTCCGTCCCGGTCCCGCTGCCGGTCCCTGTCCCGCTGCGCCCCCGCCCCGCAAGGAGCCGGAGCCGCTCGTCGCGCTGCCTTGGCGGGCGCGGGGAGGAGGCTGCCGCAGCCGCCGGCGGGGTCCCGGAGAGCTGGGAGCTGCCCAGGGTGGGTTCCCCGGAGCGCTGATGTGTCCCGCTCCTTTGCAGGCTGCTCTGTCACTTCAGAGCGAGCGTGAGGCTGAGCCGGCAGCATCCCGGGCTTTCACAGCGAGCGCTCGCCTGCAGCCCGGCACCGGTCGAAATTCAGACGTCTTCGGAGAGGGGAGGAAGATCCTCATCTTCCGAAGCCTCCTCAATGAGTGCCAAGCTCTCCAAGGAGTTGAGGCTGTCGCTGCCACCTTGTCTCCTGAACAGAACATCTGCCACCTTAAACACCAGCAGCACCTGCATCACGCAAGTGGGTCAACTGTTCCAGTCGTTCTCATCCACCGTGGTTTTGATTGTCCTGGTCACCCTCATCTTCTGCCTGATCCTCCTCTCCCTCACCACCTTCCACATCCACAAGAGGAAGATGAAGAAGCGAAAAATGCAAAAGGCTCAGGAGGAGTATGAACGGGACCACTGCACCCGCAGCAGCAGTAGCAGCAGCCGGAACCCTGGGACAGGGGTGCAGGGAGAGGCACCTCAAGGAAGAGACAGCCGGCTGGGAAGAACCCCCCAGGACTCGGAAATCCAGCGTCCCTCTCTCTCAGCAGCCCCAAGCTCTCAGCAAGCACGAGCTTGTTTGGACACAGCTGGTGCTGGGCTGCTGCAGACTGTGATTTTGTCATGATGATTTGGGGGAGACCTCACGAAGGTGCCGGTTGGTGTTTGTAAATACCTGAGTGATTATTCTAGCCCCTGAAGAAGAAAACATTGCTAATTAAAATTAACGAACAAGCCCATGATCCAAGCGCATGACAGATCACCTTGCGTTTCTCACTGACTGTGTGAGGAAAGGATGCTTCTTTTTACTGGAGAAGGAGCTGCACACAGCTCTAAATATCAAGTCATTCTCCTGGAGAAGAGGGTCAGGGATTTGTGTGTGTGTGTGGGGGGGGTCCCTTTCCCCTGGACATCATTACCCTGAGGACCGGGAGAGTCCCACTCCCTTGGGATTTCCACTTCACCCTGTGTCACCATTGCATGGTGTGGGTTGGGCATGAGTGCATGGTGTGGGGGGAGAGGCAGGTCCGGCAGGTGCCTTGGGATCGCCTGTCCTCTTGGAGCAGGGCAGGAGTCCACCCTGGTCTCTGTCGTTTTGTGCTAGGACCTATGCCCCTGGCCCATCCCTCTCACTCCTTTCCAGGACTGGCTATTGTTTTGTGTAGAGATGGCCACCCCTAGTTGGGCTTAACTGCAAGTGCCCTCCAGCCCCACAGCCCTGTGCCCCAGCTGCAGTGCTGAGTATCCCGGTGTTGGAGGGCAGTGGAGCCAGCTGTCTGCACAGGGTGATGCCTGAGCTTTCCTGTCCCCTCAGCTCCCTTCATCTTCAAATGCCCCCCATCCCCGTGCCATGAACTCTGAAACCCAAACCCTTTTGTATGGCAGGATGAGGTGATGTGCAGTAACACCTGTCCTCTCCCAGGGGAGGTTGACCTTGTGCCTCCTGTTGGTCCTGAAACAATCAGTTCTGCACCAGGCACCCTGCTCTGAATGCCTGCGTTTACAGCTTCGCCTCCTAGCAAGAAATCCTGCAGCAGTACAGAGGTGACTTCTACTTTTTTAGGTTGATAGATATTTCTAACCCTCCTAATCTAGTAGACAATTAGGGCCAGACAACATTTAATTTTCTCCCTTTTCCTCTCTTGGGGAAGAAACCATGCGGTTGTGCAAAATGTCTGCTTCTGTTTATTTTGGAAGTGGCTGGTGTATTTTCTCCCTAGCAAGCACCGGAGTTTTTTGTTCATGGATGACAGGTGTGAGTGGCTGCTAGTGCTGTGTGTGTTGGTTGAAGCAGCATCGGGTACAGAAAATGCAGCTTTGCTTAGTGATTAAGTCAATGAACACTGCTTGAAGGTGCCTTAACAGAGTGCATATCCAAACTTTGAACCATCTTGTGTGGTATCATAGCAGAGGCAGCCCTCTACTGTGCATATTGACATCTGAAAATACAGCAAAGAAAAAGTGATCCCGAGGGATTTCTTCTTTTTTTTTTAAGTTACTATTTTTTTCTTTCTAGCCTGGCATTCACAGTGGTCTGAGGAGATAGTCATAGTCCACAGCTTCTAGTATTTTGTAATCACTTACTCCCTGTCTGCTCTACTCTGCCTCCCAGGGTGGCTGTTGGGCTACAAAAATCCCGGGGAGGTGTGTGGCACTAAGCCGAGAGTGAAAGCCATTAAACAATTTAAAACTGAGAAAGAAGGTGGCAGAAGTGCTCCATCATCCCCTAATAGCCCCAAAATGCAGAGATTTCAGGGCAGTGTTTCTGTTACATGGGTTTATCCCTTTCAAGTCTTTCCTGGTATGATGGGAAATTGCTGTTGAGTTTGAATCTGTGCCTCCAGCTTTTTAGGCAGGTCTGTATCACCCAGCTCACGGAGCGCTCCACCAGCTGAGTTTAGTGTGGCCAGTGCTCCTGCGGCCGAGTGGGGTTGTGCACACTGTAGCCTGATGGGAGCGATGGCTGACTCTCGCCCCCAGCCCCGATGATCGGATGCTAATGGCTTCCTGGTTGTTGCTGGGCGAGGAAATTGGCTTTGTTTTGTTTCCTCTGATAAAGGATGCATGAACTTTTGTGTTTAACCTCCTTATGCAACTGCAGCACAGTATTGCACCACAGGGATTAGATTTAGGACAAAGAAAAACGTTCAATGAGCAGTAATGGAGCTTCCTGATCGTTGATCTCCACTAAATAGAGAGATATTACTTTCCCCTTTATTTTGTGCCTTTAAACAAAACAAGACAAAAAACAAACAAAAAAGCCCCACCAACAGTGTATAATTTTGAGTTTTATAAAAGCAATAAGATGTTCCAAATCACTCCAGTGCATTTCTGGTTGATGATTCCACTTCTTTAGTGTCTGAAGTCAGATGCTCTTCTTTCTGCCTTATGCACTCGAGGCATGCAATAATTCCCCAGAAGTGTACTGCTTGTCACATCTCATTGCAGTTATAAAATTGCCCTAGTTTTGAAGAGAAAAAGAAGGATAGATATATATATATATCTTTATATATATTATGGATATACAGGTATATATATTATTTATACAATCTCATGGCACTAAAAGTAGTTGCAAAAATGTAACTAGAATTAAAATCTTTTTTCATGTAAAGCTCTATCCTCTGTTAAGTAGCTTTGATTTACTATTTTAATATCTCTGTATGTAAATCTGTGTAAATTATGTGGTCTATAAGTAAAATTTCATACTGACTTTAATTTTTTCAGAACTGTGAGCTTCTTGTGGTGTCATTTAAGGTTTTTTTTTTTAATTTCTAAAGTTAAATTATACAAGATACAAGAAGTTGTAAATTCCTGTTACCACACTGAACCGCTCATGTGTACTTCCAGTACACAATCCTATCTTGAAGTACTGCAAGCTTACGAGGTTTATTTGAATGGTCTCAGGAGATCTAGCTGATACAAACAGGACACGTAGGTTTTCACTTTCATGAAACAATAAGCAATCTAGGGAATAGACGTGGATTTTTAAAACAGAGTTTATGCTTGGAGGTTCTGTCACATCAATTGCTTCAAAACCCTACAGCTACAGCTAAACTTCTGCACTTAGCATTCAGTATTAATAAGGCTGATGCTTCTTTCCCCTCCCCCCTCCTACTTAAACTAGAAAAGTGTAGGAAATTGTTCATATTTCTAAAGCATACATTTTCAGCTAACTGTGAAACTGCCCAGAGGGTTTTGAATATACATATTTTATGCAAGTATAATATCTATGTCTCTGTATCCATATATTTAAATATTTTTGTGTAACCTTTTCTATGATATTTGATAGAGGTGCCGTGTAAATGCTTGTACCATTCTCCCACGTAAGAAAGGATTTATATCCTTTCGATGCGGACATTCTTTTTCCTGTGAATTTGCACTGGTTTCAGCAAGTTACGGTGGAGACTGGGCAGCTGAGTGCTGTCTGCTGGAAGCACAGACAGTCTTTCCCCTGTTCAGGGGCACATCCTTCAGCTAATTTTTCCTGGTTCAGAATTGGAGGCAGCTGCCCACAAGCATCCTGCATGTGTAAGAATAAGAAGTGCTGGGGTGCTCAACAGTTTCTGTCCAGTCCAGCCATCATCCTGTGGATGAAGCACGACAGCAGTGAGTTGGTTTGTAGATCCTAGTGAGAACTGAGAGCCTGCTGGACGATGCCATGGCAGAGCTGGGGCTGGATCAGGCTATTGATGATGCCTTGTCCTGCACTCCCTTCCTCAGAGCCTGCTGCTTCCATGGGTCTTCGTCCAGCTCCAACTGTCATCAACAGGAGTGGTTCCCACTGACTGCCAAAGGACTAGGATTCTGTCTGAGGTCTGGAGGGTGGCAGCTCTCCACATGACCACCATGGGCCCTCCTCTGCGTCTGCCCCATCAGCCTCTGCAGGGATGGAAACTACTGCATCCCACAAAGTCGGGGGTTCTTCAACGTGGTGGCACCAGGGAGCTTGCACTGCTACAGTCAGCTCTGCTTCTACAGACTGAGATGTTTAGGTTTCTATGTGGATCCTGTGTGGATCATGGACAGGGAATGCCATTTCATTAAAATGTGTCATTCCAGCATTTTTTTTGGGAGGGGTTTGTGTACTGCACGTGTAGTCTCAGATGAAATTTGCAGGCTCTCCATTCAGATATGTTACAGCTTTTGATACATCTCTCAGACTTATGTCTATATATGTATAGATACGTATCTCAAAAAAAAAAAAAAATGCTGGGCAAAACGTAAAGAACAGAGACTCCACATTATAGACAAAACTGTCCTATGACTAAAAATGGGGGGCAGGGGGGAGGATGAGTTTATTTTATTTTTAATTAATGCTAAAGACTATTATCTTTAATGTAAATAACAAGTTACTCTGTGATTAATGTTTTCCATAACATTTCTAAGTAGTTGCTATCTTGTTTCTGGAAAACTATGTCCAGTGTTATGAAGCAACTGTGCTTTTCTCCTTCTGTTGTTATGAATATGAGTGCGACTTTTATGTAGGGAGGAAAAACAACATGATTTGACCCTTTAGACAGGTCCAGATTATTTTAAATCCAGTTATAGGACTTGGTTTTTTTTTTCTTTTCAGTGGTTATTTTCTCTGCACGTTTGTATTTTTCTATGGGCACTTGAAGCCCTACATTTTAATAAGTATGCAAGGTATGAAGGGAAACACTAAAAATGTAGTAGAAAACATTGATTTTCCTCCTTTGTGTAAATTGCAGAATTTATAATGACTTAGATACCATTTCATTACATTTCTCATCTCTGTAGAAGTTGGCATGACTCATAAAAAACTTTAATAATGCTTTTATTTATGTTAAAAATTAGAAATACTTTTATGCAGGACTGACTTTTTCATCTCTTTCTGGTATCTAGCTCTTTTTTTTCCCCTGAAGCCAAGTTTTCCATCTGATTGCTAAATAAATTTCTAGTAGAACAGAGCCTCCTTATGTTTTTAGTCTTCTACATGTAGATCTCTGGTCTGGATCCAGCCAAACTCAGTAGCGTAGGAAATGTGTTCTGAACTTGCAAGAAGTGGATGGTGTAAGAGCCTTGAGGAGAGAGGTGACTGGCTGACAAGCAAACAGGTGAAATGCCTGGTAATGGTGATAGTTTTCCCATCCGGAGTCATGGAAGTAAAACCTCCCCATCCGCTGGACAGACCTGAGTGAAGGGCGACCCATTCCAGCCACAGCACAGACAAGTATCAGTCTCTTTCCTGATACTGTTGCTCTAAACCATCATGTTCTATATGGCACTAGATCTCATTTCTTTAAATTATACATAATATTTTTCTTATTCAAATTGAAGAAGTTTTCATTGCTTCATTGGTACTCTATGTTCTCTGTGGATAACTAGAAGAATTCATTTTCCAACCCTTTTAATCC